CAGACCTATCGAGTGCGGCTGCTAAACACACACACACATACATACATACATACATACATACATACATACATACATACATACATACATACACACACACACACACATATATATATATATGTATACATACATGTATATATATATATATATGTATGTATGCATGCATGAATGCACGTATGTATTTCCCAGCCATGAACCTTTCATGAGGTCTCACTCTCACTCAAACACTTCCCGTCCTAAATATGGCTTCCTTATGCCTGATAGAAAACATGCGTGTCCCACTCAATAGTAAGCTGCCCTACACCCCAAAGCCGGCTCTTGGCATTCGGGGTCTTTGATCCCGTGCGATATGTCGATTACGGTGGAAGTTGGATTGCTCAGTGGCAGGACAGCTGCTGTGAAAGCCGACTTAAATGAACAAGTGGGAGCACTCAAACGGCGGGCGGAGACGGCGCTCGAAGTGGGGAAAGGGCGGCTGGTGGACTCAGCTGGAGGCCTTCTGGATGTACTTGCACCGATCAAGTGTGCCCGGCTCCAGAGTGGTGACTCGTTGGTTCTACATCTAGGCAGAGTTCAAGTTCAAGCGGGGGAGTACGCATTTGCTGCCATTCTGGGCGATGGATCCGTCGAGACATGGGGTGCAGCTCGCTTTGGTGGTGACAGTAGTGGGGTGCAGGATAAGCTGAGGAATGTGCAGCAGATCCAAGCCTCTGAGGGTGCTTTCGCTGCCATTCTTGACGATGGATCCGTCGTTACCTGGGGTGATGCTCGCGATGGTGGTGACAGCAGCGCTGTGCAGGATCGGTTGAAGAATGTGCAGCAGATCCAAGCCACTGCCGGCACTTTTGCTGCCATTCTTGGCGACGGATCTGTCGTGACCTGGGGTGAGGCTACTTGTGACAGCAGTTATGTGCAGCATCAGCTGAAGAATGTGCAGCAGATCCAAGCCGATGTTGAAGCCTTTGCGGCCATTCTGGCAGACGGATCAGTTGTGACCTGGGGCAATGGCTGCTATGGTGGTGACAGCAGTGATGTTCAGGATCAGCTGAAGAATGTGCAGCAGATCCAAGCCACTGCCGCCGCTTTTGCTGCCATTCTTAGCGACGGATCCGTCGTGGCCTGGGGTGATGATGGCTATCAGGGTCCCTGGGGTGGTGACAGTAGCCTTGTGCAAGATCAGCTGAGGAATGTGCGGCAGATCCAAGCCTCTCGCCAAGCTTTCGCTGCCATTCTCGATGATGGGTCGGTTGTGACCTGGGGTCATGCCGACCTCGGTGGTGACAGTAGTGCTGTGCAACAACAGCTGAAGCAAGTGCAGCAGATCCAAGCCGCTCACTGGGCTTTTGCTGCGGTTCTCGCTGATGGCTCTGTCGTGACCTGGGGTAGTGCTGCCGGTGGTGGTGACAGTAGTGCTGTGAGGGACCAGCTGAAGAACGTGCAGCAGATCCAATCCACAGCGGAAGCTTTTGCTGCCATTCTTGGCGACGGATCTGTCGTGACCTGGGGAGTGGCTGACAAGGGTGGTGATGGCAGTGCGGTGCAGCATCAGCTGAAGAATGTGCAGCAGATCCAAGCTACAAGAATGGCTTTTGCCGCCATTCTCGCTGACAGGTCTGTCGTGACCTGGGGTCATGCTGACCATGGTGGTAGCAGTCGTGCTGTGCAACATCAGCTGAAGAACGTGCGGCAGATCCAAACCGCTGGATTGACTTCAGCCGCAGTTTTGGCCGACGGATCTTTCGTTACCTGGGGGGAAAGGCCAGTGGGGCCAGAGGAAGAGGAGGAGGACGAGGAGGAGGAGGAGGATGAGGAGGAGGAAGAGCAGGAATAAGAGGAAGAGGTGGAAGAGGAACAGGAAGAGCAGGAACCAGCTGCTATTGTGTAGAGCCTCTCACCCTTCAGCAGGTTGTCTGTGCAGCAATTGGCAGCCACCCCTTTTCGAGAAAGCCTAGTTTCCGTGAGCATGTCCAGGCTATCCAAAAAGCTCAGACAATCTTTGGGAGGGTGGTTTTCTTCCGGGGAGGTTTCAAAAGCGTTTTTGTGTTTGCTGTTCATTACAATCGAATCCAAATACACGTAACTTTCAGTTCCACTCAGGCTAGGGAAGCGGATGTCCGGAGACCAGGGTTTTCGGCATGCTTTGTGTTGGTGCTGACACCGTACTGTACTGACACGCTGCTTATTCAGCATGATGTTATGATGACACTGTCCCCTGATCGGTGTCTTCAAGAGCCTGCGCAGAGATCTTAGGAGAACAGTGCCAGGCACACATCCTCCGGCTCGCAGCCTCAGCCTGGATCTCAGCATGGAAGCTCGGGCAGCCAAACCGCGAGGAGCTTGTCCAGATCCTTCGGTGTCGTCAGAGTTCTTTCCGTTCTTTTGATATTGGAGGAGCCCACACCCCGCCCGGCAGCCCAGCTACACCCCTGTAAGACTGTCAGACTTGACAGTCGAGACCGATCACCACTCGGGACCTCTGCGTTGCAGATTTTCTACAAGCTGGTGGCATGATTCGATGGCAGGCCCGGCCACTCCACGAGGTCGTCAAGTGCGGCATGTGCAGCACTCCTGCATTATGACTGGCTGGAGTTGAAACGAATTGGAAGGGTTCAGTTCGGGCCTCGCCTCAGTCCAGCAGCCGCAGATGGACGGCAAGTGCTGATGCGGCCCGGCTACCCACGTTGCGCATTCCCGAGGTGGACACAGTCAGTCCCCAAAGTGCAGCCCAGCATCCCAGGCATCGGCAGGCCCGGGGCCTAAGACTGCGCCGTTCTCTCCGCTTTGGGAGATCCCACTCCCGTGCAAAGGCAGCCTCCGGAGCGCGCGCAGTCGGTTCACCTCCCAGGCAGGTTGTCTGATAGCATGGAGATGCATGTAGCACCCCCGTCGCACATGCATGAAGTGCTGGGTTGCAGTGAAGCATGGGCAGCGCCGGTAATGTGCAGGCCAACCAGTCAGCTACCCGGTGGCTTTGGCACCCGAGACTTGGCTTTTCTCGGTTCTGGGGCGTCGTGACATGTGAATGCTTAAGTCTTAGACATTGCAAGTGCGACGCTGAGGAACCGGCCTCTGTCCTGCAGCCATCTGCGACTTTCAGGCATCCCGGGTTGAGGATGGTGCAAGTCCATCAACCCATCCCGCACTCGACACCTGCGAGCCCTTCTTCGGCGCGGACACCACAGCACTTTCCGGACTCGACTTCGCCTGCATTCTGGGGAACGTCGACACCACGGCTGCCGAACTCCAGTCCAGCCGTTCTGTACGGGCCAGGCCCCGGCCCAGTCCTCACACAATCGACATCGGCAGTTTCAGATGCCAGCTGGTTGCCGCGTGGACGCACGAATTTGGGTGTAGGAGTTCATCACTAGCAGATGCCCGTGCCGGACTGCCGGTAGAGACGGCGAGCAATTCTAGAAGTCATGTGCCGGGTCCTTGAAGAAAAGGTGGTCTCAGCCAGACCTGGGCGCCACACAGTCTGTGCCGAGAGGTTTGCCGCTGCGCCGGCCAAGACTCTTCATCGCAAATGTCAATTCAGGCGTGCATGTCGTGCGTTCGGGCGTACCCCTGCTGAACCTGTCCCGCAAATCCTGCACTCTCCGTTTAGACGGTGAAACTTCCATTCCTCGACCTTCACGCCGACGGAGCCAAGGTAGTAGTGCGCTGTCCACTGGGATCGCCTCTCCACAGGCCGGCGGTCTGCCGCCACGACAGGACCGCCTGCATCCAGCTGCGACTGCAGGTTTGTTTTGGATTTGTCGGACTGAGCTGATATTGGTGTCGAGCGGCGGTGCCGCCCCCACCACGTCCGTGGTCCAGCTCGCAATCACCTCGGCGAGCCCAGGAGCCGACAGTTGCCAGCAACGGCAAGGCGCATGCAGAGCGCGCAAGTATGTCAAGCCAAGAGCTGCTTGTACTCGTGAGTGCTGCTAGCGCTTGCTTACGTCTCCTGCCGAGTTGGATTCTTCGGGCTGGTTTCCGTTGGCAGCGGCCCAAGTGGACGGCAATGCGGAGTGCCTGCAGGCATGCTGGGCCGTTGATCATGCCTGATTTTTTGTTTTGTGAAGCAGGTTCAGAAGCGTCAGTTCATTGCACGCTGACCTGTTCCCAGTCATTCAAACCTTCACGCTTTCTGACTGACCGACAGAGCCGCGCCAGGTGGCTCCTGACATGTTCTTGGTACGTGTGGCTGGCGCCGGGTGAGAAGCTCTGTGGTGATTTGCGAGTGTCCTGCTAGTATATCAATGCTCGTATTTCCAGTCGTGACACGATGTCTGCGACGGATCATGCTAGTAGTGTGTGCGGTTCTTCAGAAGTTCTTCACATTTACTACCTGTAGTAGCCGGCAGATACTATACAAATTCTAGATTCTCGATTTTTGTTTTAGGTCGGACAAAGAGCGGCCGGTGCGGCATTCTGACTGCTGCGGCTTTGGCGATGTCCTCTCGGCATCGCTGTCCCCTGGCCTTAGAACGCCTACACCATCTGGATCCCCAGCACGGCCCCTCAATCGAGGTGGGGTTGCCTTTGTGCTCGTAGCAGCCCTAACATGCCCCAAGTCTGGACCGTGAAAGGGGAGGTGTCAGGAATTGTCAGGAGTTCGTGAGGTTTCGAGGCGAGGACGAAACTTGCGAACAAAGAAGAACGTTATTGCAATTGTAATGATAGCAGCAGCAGCAGTCGTCTTAGTTTTGGTCGCCGCACAGTCAAGCCTTCCAACTGAGGCCCACGCAACGATGACGGCTCCGTATGGTAAATGCTGTAAATGTGCCCGCCAGCTGCTGGTAGCATGGTCGAGTTGATGGCTTCCCAGGCTGGTGCAGGATCCTAAGGTCCTAAAGGTTCAAGGCGGTCCATTTTGGTTGTGCAATTCCGGGTATTTCCCACGTGCAGCAGGGCTGGTTCTCTAAGCAGAGACAGAAGAACCGTCCGATCATCAGCAGTCTGACCTTCGTGCAGCTGGCGATTTTCGTAAGACTGGCATGAAACAGCAGGCAGGGTATCCCAGACTTCGCCCATGGGGCCCTGATGCACGGCCCACCACATATTTCCAATGGCTGCGACGGTAGAATTTGGAGGCTTATGTGAGGATACCAGCCATTGAAGTTCTCTGAAATCTTGGTCCGAAGCATCCAAGGGCCTTCCATGGTCTTTTCCTGCTGCTGTGTCGTGCTCGCAAGCTTGTAGATAGAGTGTGGTCCCGGGATGTGATGTGCTTTGCTATGGGTAAAGAGTCGCTTGATTGCATCCCTGGGGGTGCACCTCATGCTTGAGTGGGGTCCTGCCGGTTCCGAGATGCTGCGCGCACATTGACGAAGGCGAATGAAGGTAAGGTAGGAGAAGGGCTCGTGCGGTGACAGAGTAGCTTCGCAGAGCCGAATTGCTCGTCATGGAAGCCACAAAAGAGACCGGCGCGGCACAAGCCAAGCCAGCTCCAGGGATAGCATCTTGGGCAAAGTTGGCAGGTTCCCACTACAAATGTACGTTGTAGCAGAAGCATGCAGCAAGTCTGTTGACCTGTGCCCCGATCGTCCTACTGCATGAAAGGCAGATGACTACGGCTAAGTCAAAGCTTGAAACTGGTGCTTGAAAGTATGCAGAATGACAATAGACTCAGCCATAAAGCCTTGTGCATGGCTTTTGTTCGATGGGGGGCACGACCAATGGCTGCCGCAGAACAACACACCCGAAGGGTGTCCTGAAAAGTGCCATGGTATCATGGCCAGACTTCCAGAAGCCCGACCAAAAAGTGTGGCCTTGCACAGACCATGCCAGAAGCGTGGTGTACTCACCCGGCAAAGCGATTCTACTTATTCCCTTGACATGTTGGTTTACAAATCCGCGTCAGGTATAGTCGCGACCTGTTTTGAAGTTAGACGGTGTGCTTAGGGATCTTATTCTTGGGTTTGTTGCCTTGGAGAGCACATCCGCAAACTGTAGTCCGGATTCGATGTATTGCACATGCTATCCACATGTTCGAGAAGCACGTCTGGGCATGGTTGTCACGGTGTGGATTGTCAAATGCATGGGTGTAGATGTGCGTGCATGCGCTCATTCATGCGTGAATGGGCGTGAAGAAGCAAGTCTCAGACGGAAGTAAGCCCATGCACCTAAACATAAATCTAAACATTATTTGGTGAAGTGTTAGTTCCCAAAAGACAAACAGCAACAAAAGACCGGCCGACCCACCAACCGACAGACCCACCTACGGACCTACTGGCCTACCCGCCTGCCTGACCTGCCTACCTACCTACCTACCTACCTGCCTGCCTGCCTGCCTGCCTGCCTGCCTGCCTGCCTGCCTGCCTGCCTCCCTGCCTACCGACCGACCGACCGACCTACCTACCATTTTGTTGAAGTCCTTGCATGCCGGACAAATGGACCGCGAGGTGTTGCTGAGTCATGTTACCGGAGGGCGAAGACTAACATTGTGGGAGTCTCAGCAGTTCTGCTTGGCGCAGATGTCCCATTTGTGATGCATGATGTCAGACTTGCCAGTGGTATCGTTTCCTCTACTTAGCAGCTCGGGCTGCCGGCTGGAAAGATGATTTCATCCGAGCTGGTCTAAGACCTAGCTTGTCTAAGACCTCCAGGTTCGAGCTGAAAGAGTCGAAATCCCAACCTCTAATCTTTGGCTGATGATTCTGGAATCCGCAGCTGGGAGGTCGATGCTGCTTTGGGGGGCTTGGGGCGAGGCCTGATTGGGGTTGAGCAGCATGAGTTTGAGGATCAGGGCCGTCAGCATTTAGCATTCAGGGTGGTTTAGGGACGGGATTGCTCACTCACAGCACGGCGACGGTTGTAGCAGTCGGTTTGCCTTGGTGTTACAAAGTTCGAAGCACCAAGCCCAAAGCTGGGGTCATCTGACCGAGTGCGATTGTGAGAGAGTGAAGCCCGATGCAGAAGCCGGAGTTTAGCTTTGGCTCCAGCCTGCTCAGGATTTCTGCCAATCTCTGGCTCCCCGCCTTCTGAGTTTTCCTGATGTCCTCTGATGTCGTGCGCGCTGCTCTCGCCAAACTGGAACTGAGCCAGTCGTGTCCTTGGCTCCGTCTGTCCCTAGAACATGCCGAGGACGTGAATGCGGTACAGGAGACCTCACCAGAGGCTTCGGAGTTTCTAAATGCGCAGCTGGGATCCTGCATAGACCGTTTGCTATCTTTCTTCCTGAAGAAGTACGGCAACTTTGCCGATCTGCCCCGTCCTGCACTGGAAATCGTCCTGCACGCGCCTGTCTACACTTGCGAGCAAGCAGAGCAGCTCTGCCCGAACCCAGAGATGAATGGAGGAAAGGCGATGCAGATGAAAAATCTTTTTCTGAAGGACAAGAAGAAGAATTTCTTCTTGGTATCTGCTGCTGTCAACACGGAGATCAAACTGAAAGCAGTGAAATTTGCCAAGCAGGTGAGCTTTGCTTCAGCAGAGGCACTTGAGGAAAAACTGAAGCTACTACCCGGCAGTGTGACACCCTTTGGCTTGCTGAACGACGAGGCGGGTGAGGTGCAGTTCCATCTGGACCCCAAGGTCTTGGCGGACGAGGGCGAGAGCTGCCCCACCGTCGGCTTCCATCCGAATGCTTGCAATGCCACGGTATACATGCAAGCTGTGGACTTTGTGGAGTTTCTGGAGAAGGAGACCTCTCACAGGGTCAACATACTGGACCTGGATTGATGCACTGAGGTCAGCTTGGTCCTCTCTTGGTTGTGAGGCGTCACCCTGTGTCCACTCGTCGAGACTTGACGCCCGCCCTAGGTTTTGGACAGGGCTTTTGCTTGCTGTGCTGCGCTCCAGGGTGCCTGCCATGTGTCACCGCTGATGGAACGTGCCGGACCTTCCAAAAGCAAATTTCGCTCGAAGGCCAGTAGTGCTGCGTTCGGAGTGTACAGAGGTTGTCTCTCTAGGTACTCTACGTGATGTACAGTCACCTTCATGGTTGAGTCCAGATGCTGGGAAAACGCTGGTCGATTCCGTGCCTGGCATTCCGATCCTTGTTTCCTTTGCCGGGCCAAGAGACGTGTGTGGTTTGACAGGCTAACACAGGGTGGTCTGAGGTGGACTTGCTCGATCCCAAGCCCCATCAAACACTCATCGTGGTTGTCATCCTCCTCTTCATCCGTATCTTCGCCAGCATCACGACCATCACCAGCATCCCCAGCATCACCATCATCACCCCATCATCACCACTGCATCACCGCCACCGCCACCGCCACCGTTGTCGAAATCGCCATCCCCACCAGCACCGACACAGGCACCATCACCATCACCATCACCATCATATTCACCATCTCTTTCAGCATCCCCATCAGCATCACCATCATCTCATCATCGCCATCCTGCATGCCGCTCGCAGTGCGTAAAGACGAGAGCCGGAATCGCAAGAATCATCAAACTGCATTCGTCAAGTCTGAAGAAATTAGGTCATGTCACGCACGTCCGCTTCGAACACCACTTTTGTGAGTCGAGAATAGAGATGGCAAGCCACTACCCTCGCGTCTGTTCCCAGCACATGTGGCTGCCGTGCCCAACTCAGGGAGACATGTTCCGACACGTGGGTCATCCGTGCATGGGTCATCCGTGCATTCTACGGCAGCAATCAGAGCAATGACGGGAACAGGCGCCACCGCCATTATCATCAGCTTTCTCGTCTTCATCATCGTGTAGCAGGGCTTCGTCTGAACATGAGCAATGGCAAGACTAGCTGATTAGCCACACCAGCAGCAACACAAGACTGGCAGCAGACAAAGTTACTGTGTAACGTCCATACATGCAGGCATACATACATACATGCATACATGCGACCGACAGACAGACAGATAGAGAAGTAAGTGTATGTGATGTGTTTGCATAGTCCTAATAAACATATGCATCTCTGAATTGATTCGCTGCGAGTGCGGCATCGCCTTGACGGCTCACAGCTCGCTTCGGCTCCATTCGGATTCCTCGGAGATCGACGGCCCGGCCCTTGCTTCTGCCATGACGGCTATGAGCCCGAGCTGCATATCCGAAAGTCCAAGCTCTGAGGGGGATTTTGCAGCAGAGAGTTTGTAAGGGCATGTGGCAAACCCTCTGAGCATCCAAGGGGTGATTCAGTGATGAGCAGCAACTCGCGAAAGCCCACCGGAATGAAGGGCAAGGCGCTTCAGTGAAGCTGTCGGAAGTCTTGTAGGTGCTGCAACACCTGGAGAGGTGCATGACCTGGCGACTACACTCCAGTCTCAGAACGAGGAGCTCAGCATTGAGAAAGGCCCGGCATGTCTGTTTTGTGACTGCTGCTTCTGACAAGCCCTGCAGCGCAGCATAGGTGCATGGATCGTTGGGTTTCACTACAGTGTTTGCTCAAGCCGCAAGCCATGTTCAGCCCATCGCAGCCTCGTGATGACAGGTCACGTGCACAATATCAAGGCCGACAACGCCAACTCGTCATCGGGCATGCAAGGGCAGCTCAATGATTCTCGGAACCGAACAGTGCGTTTTACTGCCAGTCGTATAGGGCGAGTGGTCTTGATTCATGTGAGTTCTGGCTCAGGACATAAAGCGCTACTTTGCAGCGGACGTGCAGAGGATGGTCGAAGAGCCCCTGTCCTGCAAGACAAGCCTTGATGTGCATGGCAGGTGGCCAAGTTCAGGCCATGTTGGGCTTCATTACCAAGGTTCAAAGTACAGCAAAAGTTGCAGGAGGCTGAGAATGTCCGCCTTCAGCAACAGGCCCCAGCAGAGAGCTCGCTGCTCTGCGAGTCAGTTCCCATGTTTGATGATAGTCAGCTTGTTGGTGTAGGTGACCCAGCTCAAGGGCGAGAAGACATCGGTTCACCAACAGATCATTGCCCTGCAGTGCCTTGCTGGCGTTTCCATTTGTGTACCGCCAAGTTGCGTTGCCTGTCCTTTCCGTTCAGCTAATGCCCGCTACCAGGCGACGCATCGAGGTGGGCTTGCAGCATGTCGGTGACATCGCGACATGTGCATGGGCCCTCGTAGAGACGATGTCGGTGGTGCCTAGGCCATCGCACCATGTTTTTATTGCAGAGTGGGTCCGAACCACCCTGCTGCTAGTTTTGAGTCAACCTAGTGAGTTGACATCCTGAACTTAAAACATCATGGTAATTTGACTGATCTCATGTTTGACTGCTGCTTATCCCGGTCCTGCAGAGAATGCTCAGCAAGACTACTATTTTCCTAACCCCTGTTGTGTTGGCAGGGGTTGTTGCTGCTGTTGTTGACGAGGCTGCTTATACTTGGCGTGTAGGTGTCGGCATCAGTGCTACTACGACACTGTACTTCGTAGCTCTCAGAGTGTTGCAGGCTTGCGCTTCGGGTTTTTAGGATGTTTTAGGGGCTTGCTTGGTTTAGGGCTTTGGGTCTCAAGGTCCAAAGTCCGGGTAAACAGTGTTGCAGGAGATCGAGGAGGAGATTGGACATGAGTGAGATCGGGACCGGTTCGCACATTGATTAATTCGCCGCAGAGATGCAGGGAGTGCCTTCTCTGGCATATGCGTGATACGATTTTATCTCCCTGGCAACCAATGGGCAATGACACAGACACGTGTGTGTGAGACACTCAAGATAGCCTAAATCTGGATGGCACTGATATCTGGCAGGCTCATCGGGTTTTGGCCGTGTTGCGTGGCTCTCCTGCGCTCACTCTTGGGAGCAGCTTGCTGCATGATCCGCTTTTCTGCCTAGTGAAGTAAACAGCTTCGCCGGCCAGGGAGTGGTCTCTCAAACTTGGTCTACGTGAACTGCTGCAGCCATGCGTGTCCGGATTTGGATGGTGGGGTTGTTTAAGCCCCTAGTTGACTGTGCATCCAGTCTGGTTCAGGTAACAGATGCCCGCACGGGCTGGTAGAGGCCTCTCCCACTACCGCGATCAGTAGAAGGAATCGTCTTTCCTGCAGGCAGAGTGGCAGACTAATGCTTGGCCACTGAGGTTCCACACGAGAGAATCCTGAGAGAAGCAAGAGGTCTATCCTTGCGGGGCTGGTCCTAGCTGGGTGAGAGCCAAAAAACCCTTAGCCGCCTTAGCCTCCACCGGCCTGATCCTGGATATGGACGACAATGTCTTGCATACTTGTTGCTTCAGCATGTCTGTGCATGAAGAAGCCGTAGTGATAGGTTGGAGGTTGAACATCTGCTTCCAAAATTGAAGACCCTGCCTCCGGAGTGTATGATAGCTCAAGCGAGACTAGGCTTTCCTTCCGCTGTGCTTTGATTCCGGAGGTCACACACTTGCACTGGAGTTTTCACACCCATGCATTCCCTTATGTAGTGGCTCGACGGTTCTTCACTCGCTGACAGGCGCCTGAGCCAAAACGTACGCTTAGAGCGCGTTTTGCATCGGAGAGTTTTAGCTCGGCTCTCGTGTTCGCTGGCGCACCTAGCGGCTTGAAGGTGGTTTGTCCCGCCCTACTCTTTGCACTGGTGTGCAAGGGCCTCAGCATGAGAGTTTCTGGCTTTCGAGGGTTGTGTGAGTACGGCCGAGTGCGACATGCAACGGCTCCTAGCGGCCCTTCCGACACCTCAGGCCTTGCCGACCTAGTTGCTGTGGTGGCGCCCCTCGATTCCGTGCACGACTCGATTTACCGGCTTTGGCAGCTTATCATCGTTATAGATACAGACTTCTCTGCGGAGACTGCGTGATGATCTTGCATGTCGACACTCATCAGGTTCACCGGGGGAAGGTCAAAAATCAAGTGTTCTGCTTGTGCAAATCTGACAACACACTGTAGATTTCAAGTTCATCGTTTTTATATATGATCACCGGCCCATACCGTTTGACTTCTTTTCATCAGTGCTTTGCATACAGCTTGTCGCTGGTTTCGTCAGCCATTCATTGTTGGTCTTACCCGGACTACATAAGATGCCTGCCATCCGTGACAAGTGCAGAGGCCATGAGTGCTGCAGTGAGCCGGGAGCCAAGTTGTGCACTTTCGTCGCTCCTGACAGAGGGTAACAACTGCCCACATCATCGCTGCCAACATCTGCAGGTGGGGACGCCTCTGCCTCGCACTTGACACCAGAGGACTCAGTTGGACTCTCTTGGAGATTTCATGTTGAAACCCTGCCGGGTGAAGCAGTAGGAGGATGTAACTTGCACGGGCAGCACCTGTGAAGCTGGTTGATGGTCCTGGCTCCTCTCCTTGATGGCGTTGCCTGAAAGCTTACCATCAGAAGGCGACCAAACTCAGAAAGTCAGCATGATAATTTCTCACTGTCACTCCTCGAGCCAGCAAGCAAACGTGCCATGAAGCGAGGACGTTCTATGCCCAGACGTGTGCGTTTGTTTGACACTATGGTTGCTCATCCCCGTTTTAAATTTTACGCCTGTGAGCCTTTTGTGACGTTTTGCTGTTGCATAAATGTCCACAGCACCACAACGCACTTATCCTGGTGGCCTCGAACATGCAATGCCGACCAGCAGATGCGCAGCGCAAGGCTGACATGGCACAAAACCAGCCACATGCCACAGGACAGTGGTTTTGCAGCGGCAAGTCGCCAGAAACTCGGAGGGGACCAGGGCAGAGCCTGCAGACCAAAGTCAAAGGTTAACGTAGGAACCTGATTAAGAAACCCTGGTCCTATAACCCCAATATATTAGGGTTCATATTCAGAACCCTAATAAAGAGCCAGGGTTTCTTAATCAGGTTCCTGCATTATACATGTTGGAAGATTCGGCCCTCAACCCCGAAGTTGTGCGAGGTGCGAGAGTCCAAAACCTAGAACCCTGAACGTCGGGTTGAGAGAGGATCACGTGAGAACCTTTTAGTAGGTTGTATCTCTGAGGGGTTTGGCGCGTGTTTTTCGAGGCTGACCTCTCCCTCCTTTTGGATGGTTTCACGTTGCCGACTGAAGACCATACGGATTGTCCGACTGTGGGCGCCGAAACCGGCAGAGGTCGTCTGGCGGAGTCCGAGTTGCGAGAGCGTAGACTGGCAGAGGTGTTGGCCACAAGAGCCGGGGCCGCTCTGCTAGCGCTGCCTTCCTGGCACGTTCTCGCGTGACAGTTGGAAGAGGAGGACTGAGTGTTACTGTCGCAGATGTATTAGCAGAGATATAGATATAGACAGGGATATAGATATAGATCTAGAAATAGATAGGTAAGTAGATAGATAGATAGACAGGTAGATGGACAGATGCATGGAAGACAGACAGACGGTGAGACAAACGAGACCAACAGGCAGAGTAGGCACCTAAGGAGGGTGTGAAACAATGTGCAACAGTACGAGAAAAGGCGAGTGCTTGCGAAGGAGACAACTTGTACAGAATAAAAGTTCCCGCGGTATTCGCCGGTCATTTCGACCGCACTGCCAGGCCCTCCTGGCCAAGAGCCCAGCTTGAAAGGAAGCCTTCCGTGTGGCAGACATTGTGGACATGAGTAGGACTGCTACTGATGCCAGCAAGAACGATCAAGAACGCGGTTGTTGAGCATTGGGGGTACTGTTGCCTCAGCTTGTTTCAAGCTTCTCTGCACACTGTGAAGCCTCTCCAAAGCCTCGATTCTCGTCATGCAAGTTTGAGGTCGTGTCCATCCAGGCCGTGCTGCGAGCTTCCCTGTCCGGGCCTCTTAGATCGCTCGTTCGAGGTTGTGATGCATTAGGGTTAGGCTCATCAGGCAGTGCAGGCGCCCTCAGAAGAGACTGGAAGCCTCGGACATCTTCGGGCTTGGGCTTAGGTTGGTGACCTTCCGACTGGCGCAGCGGCGACGCAATACCCGGGTGCCAGAAATGTAGCGCTAATGTGACAAAGTGGGACAGTGTCGAGAGACTTCTGTGACTGGCCGGGTCAGGTTCGGGAAGCAAGTTGCCAAGTCTCAGTAGTGTTGTCTCTGACCTTCTTCATTTAGAAATCTGATTTCAAGGTCGACAATGAGTCACATACGTGATGTTACGGGTTGTAGGTCGAGCGTGGGGGCGGAGGCCTCGAACTCCCACGGTGACCTGAAAGAGGGCTCCATGCTGGTTAATATCTGCAAGAATGCCGTTTCTGCACGTGAGAGCAGAGAAAGGTTCATGGGTTTTGGCAACTCGGGTTATACTTTCTGTATAAACACGGCGACAATTGCTATACTTAGTTCACACTGCAATTAAGCTAGCTCTAAGCTTACCCAACCAAGTCCCATGATCCTCCAAGCAGGATCCTGGTCCCTTCCTCATGCCAGGTCTTGCCTTGAGATGGCTCGCAGTCGCCTGGCGGTTGCTGGTGAAAATGTCGTGCTGTGGGGTTTAGGGTCTAGGATGTAGGGTTTAGGGTTTAGGGTTTAGGGTCCTGATGCAAAAAAGGGTTTAGGATGGTTTAGGATTTGCATATGCCTAGCCCGGGTGTAAGAGGGTATAGGGTTTAGGGTTGCTGCGCTTTTGCAAGGCCAAGGGCAGTAGCCTCAAACATGCCAGGCATCCAGACCGTACCTTTCCGTGATGGAGTCGATGTGCTGGCTCCACGATCTTTTCCTTTCAGGGACCCCACTTTTCTGTACAATCCTGCATTGACACGTCTCGGTGTCTGAAGTCTCAGCATCCATCGAAGAGCTGTTTCAGGCACTTCTGTAGCAGAGCCTCAATATGCGTCGAATTGCCGGGGCAGACATCTGGGCACACAATCCGATCAAGATCCCAAGCATAATAACAGAACTTGATATTGGCAGCTTGTGGCTGTGAGCCCACGCTGCGGCCAGCCCGCGGCAAGGGCGGCTGCTCGGCGAGTGATCAGCCGGGGAAGGATTCGGGATTGTGCAGGGGCTGGCTTTTCCGCAAGTGTTCCGCGACAGGGGTCCTAGCCAGAGTGCTGTATGAAGCGAGGCCAGCAGCAGCCAGCTTGCATTAAAGATCTCAGTGTGGCAAGGCCAGCCATGGGGCAGGCGTTTGCAAGTGAGACGACTGTGACGGACAGAAGGCCGAGGGAGCATGCGCTAGGATGTGAGCTAGGAGAGCTCGGATGTGGCTGCATTGGACGCAGTGGGACAGATCATGGCATGTTGATGTGGTGAAAGATTCAGCCATCCGAAGCTGCAAGTTGACTTCCCGAAACTCTGGTCTCAAGCAGCCAATCCAAATTAAAGGATGCCTGTCTCCCCAACTCAAGACAAGCACACGTACTCGCGCACTTTCAAAGGCTAGAGTCTAGCTACCCTGACTCAAAGTGCTTAGCTAATTCGCCGCCTTGTGGTGACAATGGCCATTTCTGCTTGAAAGGACCTCCTTGTGCGTGTGTGGTGGCCATAGAGGCGAGCATGGAATGACTCTAGTGATACGAGGAACTTGTTTGTTTAGCCCGAGAAGACCCGCGGATCACCTGTCGGGCATCCATTTGCCTGTAGCCGCCGATGTGGCGAACGATGGGCAGATGGCTTTGCGCTCACTTTGGTGGTGGTTGGCCCAGTCGCTGATATCTTGTGGACCCTTCTAAAATTATACAGAAGCTGCTTCTAGCTGTCGCAGCTTCCCGCTTCAGACATGGCCCAGGCTGAAAAGTCCCGTCGTGCTGCTCGCCATCATTGCGACGCTTTCCCTGACCTTGCTGTTTCTTGACAACTCCAGTGTCACCCGGCATGCTCCAGGCAGGGCTGATTCACATGAGCTTCTCAGAGTAGTTGTGACCACGAGAGGATGCAGGAAGATGCAGGTGCTGTCCGTGCCAGGCAGCTACGAGAACCCGGGAAGGGCCATCGTTGAACTCCATGCAGCGATGCTTAGGTGCCTCGAGCATGGTTGGCAAGTGGCAGGAGACAGGATTCGTTGTTTCTAGCACACCGACTTAAGTCAAGCCGCCCCACGCCGTCGGTGCAAGCCGCCAGCCAGGAACATGACGCTGAGAGTTACGTGCTCAGACATCGTTGTCGGTGTGTGACAAGTCGAATCGCTGCTGATGTCGGGCTATGGATGTCAAGCTAAGGTGCAAACAGCTGAGCAAGTTCTGCTAGAGCTGCGTCAAGCTCATTTAGAGATGAGGAGCTGTCACTTCTACGCAAGACTGCAGCACATAAGTTACAACGCCTTGTCGCCCGCAGGAAGCAGCAAGACGAGGTGTTGCGGGGGCGGGGGGCGGGGCAAGCGAGTAAGCTGAAGCAGCTGAAGAGTGAAGGTCTCACAGGCAAACCAGAAGCCATTCTTGCAGTGATATGTTACACTCGTGACGGATTTCTGCCTTTAGTCTGAATCTGGGCCATTCTCCCCGACCACGAGACCAAACCCTAGCGGCCCAAGCTCCGGACCGCCAGGCATCGGTGCTGCGCCGAGCCACGCGTGCTGTGGCGCAGCGCGGCGGAGGCGCCCCGGCGCCACCGCCACCGCCGGTGCCGGCATTCAAGGTCGAGGTATCTGAGTGGGGCCAAAGAGGAAGGGAGTTTGGGATGGCATTGAGTGTTTACACCTATGAGTCCGGGCTGTGTCTTGTGGGCCAGATGAGCTCGAAGTGTTTCAGGCGCACTTGTCTTGATGCATGTGTGCCCGGCGGGCAGGAGGGTTCAGGGTCCCTTCGCCCTTGCAAATAGACCCAGGGGCTCCAGCGGCGAGTTCCGGCTTGAACTGTTCGTTGTGGTTGGCTGGGCAAGCCGAACTCGAAACCTTACCTCTTTGAGGAGTCTTCCGCGCCGGAAAAGCCAGTGGAAGAAGCAGAGGCTGAGGACAGCTGCTAGCAAGGGAGCTGAAGCCTGCGGTCTGACCGAGTCCCTTTTCATTCAACCAGGAACCCGAAACACAAACCCAAAACCCTAAACTTCAAACGCATGTCCTTACGGCTGAAGCCTCAAGGCTTTAGGAGGACCCCTCGTGGCTTGCACCTGCTCCGACACAGCACGTCATGTGCTGCGTCCTGCTCGCGGCATTCCGAACATCAGAGCGAGCGGCCGTCGCAGAGGCGGAAGCTCTCGGCGTGGCAATGTAGCTGCATGCTACCGCCAGGTCTTCGCATGAAGAATTGGAGTTGCCTGATGAGAGATACCCTTCGGATCTGGTCGCCATGAGCTACCAACACGATCTCGCTGAATCAGCACATCCCGTTGGCAGCGGCGTCTCCCATTTCACCTCCCGGCAATACCATGCTTGGGGTGCCGGCCCGAACATGGCTACTTCCGTGTTGGAATCTTTGCGTTTGGTGCAGAAGAGTCGCACCTGGGCCACATCGAAGGACTTCACCGCACTTCAAAGTGTCAACTTGATCCACTGCTCCTGAGCTGGATTCGCCCAACCAAAATTCTCCAAAGCATCCGGCGTCCCTCTGCTGCGCCAGATGCCCCTTCCTGGCCCCTCCATCGACCCCTGCGGAACGTTTTCGTAAAGCAAGCTGGTCATGACCAGCTTGCTTTACGAAAGTGATACCCGAATCCCGACACAAAAAACCTGTACAAGGCCTTAAACCAAAAACAAAAAACACACGATGCCAATTGCTTTAGCTTTTTGCAGGACGGCACTGCCGAGGGCCAGGTCAGTGAAGAGCAGCAGAAGCGTGAAGAGGAAGAGCAGCGAAGCTCGAGGAAGTTATCACTCGCTTTTATGATTTTAGGGTTTAGGGTTTAGGGTTTATGTTTCTTTTTCATGGTCAGGGCATATGCTATCATAGACCCGGCTGTAGAAGCGTTTAGACTGTAAACTTTGGAGTTCTTCCTCCGTTGATGTTGGAATTAAACTGCCGGCTACTGCAACGTCGTTGCTGCTGAGGAAAGCTCATCGGCTACAACGAGGCGCTTGATGAAATATATTGTTATGTACTATATATACAATGTTTGTGTATGTATGTATATATATATATATTTATGTGTGCTTTCAATTTTATCTTGTATTGGTACTATGTTATGTTATATGTCAAGGTTTGTGGGTAATAGGTACGGTTCAAGCAGAGTTGGCTAGTCTTTACCTCGCGGCTTTGGCGGGGCGAGGGGAAAAATGTGTGTGTATATATATAGGGGGCTCATACATACTTGTGTATTCCGTATATGTGTATATGTATATGTAGGTTTACACCTATGCATGAATTATTCTGTATTCTGAGTTCTACATTATACATGCTACATAATGGGTACAAGGTGATTCTTTTTGCGAGTTAGATCGTCCACACGGCAAGTTCAGGATCACATGCTACATATTACAAGTTGCAGTTTACATATTAAATGTCTGCTATATATTACTTGTGACCTGTTACCAGTTATATGTTGCATATCATATCAGATATAACATAAGAACTGCTTATGTGCTATATTCTATGTGCTATAAGAAAGATATATGATGTATCACATGTTGGTTTCATTATGTTACATGAAGTTATTAGATCATGTTCTCTCAAATGATTGCAGCATAGTATAGTTTGGTTTGTTATATCTTTTTTATGATACTTTACCATATTGTGGTTTGAAGTTCTAAGATGTTATTTGATATTATATGATGATGTTGCATGTTGTAATTTTGGTACTGTATATTCGATATGTATATATATATATATTCCATATTTCGTTTGTTTTACAACTCATGTTTTACGTTTTATGTTACACATAATCTAGTTTGCACTATGTCTTTTATTTTTGATTATATATACGAGATGTACATTATGCATTACCATACATTTTACATTTTATACTGTATATAAGATAAAAAAACAGCTTAGATTATATATTGCACGTGGCACATGACCTGCCGTGTAGGACCCGCCATGTAGGATTGAGTCGCCTCGAAACTGCCATGCAGGAGCCACACATATATTGTACATATCACACCCATGTATATTTATGCACACAAATAGGGTTTTATATAGTACATCGTACCTGTTCTATTCCATTCCATTCCGTTATGTTATATCATACTATGATATACATACACACATACATACATACATACATACATACATACATATATATATAGATAGATCAAAAAAAGGGAGCCAAAATATATATTACAGTACATTACACACTGTACATTATATATGATATTTTTATATGCCATATATTTCATATTTTGCATTCTACACTGAATAGCACATATATATATATACATACACACACACACACATATATATATATATACTATGGTATACTATATGGCACAAAGGACAAAATCTATTATATATGTTGTATGTTATAAGCTTACATTGTATAGCGCAAATGACAAATTATGCATTTCATGTCATGTGTGCATGCATGCATGCATGAATGCATGCATGCATGCATGTATGTACTATGATTCTTATTACTTCCATTATTGGCATTTTCTCTAGTATTTGCAAATACGTTGTATTCATGATCACGCCTTATGTATTACCTGGTTACATCACAGATTTCACCTATCATATATTTCATGTTAGATACCACATGTCATGTGTTATGCCTTTATATTCTATGTTATGTATCATGTTTTAATTTTCAGATGATATGCGTTTGCCTCTACAAGCTGTATATTCTACACTATAAACTAAACATAGCCTATCTTGTAATCTCTGTTATACATTCTGTATCAGGTATTATATGTTTTGGCTACTATCTAGCATATTACATAGTTTGGAGTACTATTATACATTGTGTATTATGTATTGCCTATTATGCATTTTATATTGTATATTGTATATGGCGTATAAATATATACACACATTTTATGAATAATAAGCCTGTGACGACAATGAATAGTTAAACGGTAATACATACATACATACACAAACGTTAAGTATACATATGCACACACGTACCTCTGTACATATATACACATACATACATACATACGTACGTACGTACGTATGTACGTACGTACATATATGGGAGTTTCCGAAAATTAGGGGTACCTTATTTTGGGGTCTTTATATTAAGGATCCTATTATTTAGGGTACTGTATTAGGGTCCCCTAGTTTCAGAAACCCCCTTTACATATACACATATAACTTCCTTTTTTAAATACACAAGAAAAGTAGATATCATAATGCCTGCATGGACACCCAGTTGATGGTTGCTGCAACCACAAAGTTTCAGGTCAGAGTCACAGCTGCTGAGCTCTGGCTCTGGTTGCTTGTTTTTGATGTTTGCGTTGGACTTGCGTGTTCGTCTTTGATTTGCTTCTTGGGACTGCCGATGATGGTACCAAACCTCAACCCGGGCGCACTTGTGGCCAGGCCGCGAAGACCTTCAAGCGCTTCAGGCTCGAACATGCGCTTGGCCTGATGGGAAGAGAGTTGAGTTGCAAACCCTCTGCGATGGATGTTTGGGCAAGAGCTGGTGGATTGAATGCCGATAAACCAAGACTCCTCGAGCTAGTGCGCTCAAGAAACTCAGGGTTCGCATGGCAGGCCTGACTTCAAATGCGGAAGCCGCGTTCCGCTGCTCCCCGATGAGGACGGTCTCTGCCCGTGTGCAGCGCCTGAAATTCCCGCTTGAGCTGAGCCAATCGTGGAACGTCAGCGAATTCAAATTCACGCGGAATCAGATTCATGATAGCCTGCTTCTCCATACCCGAATGTTTCATCCAGGAACAGAGAACGAAGAATACTGGAGCTGTGAGGATCGAGACGTCGTGTACAATGTCTTTGGTTTTTTGATCAGCCAATTGTGCTAAATACGAAGGTGGCAGCAACAATGGCACAATGCACGCTCAACACTGCCAGCTCCCACAAGAGCGAGACCGAGAGCAGTTGCCAGGAAAGGCCATGCAGGTGGTGACCTACGGAGACCCCGAGCATTGCAGCAAAACCACAAAATGTCCGACTGGGAGCTGGAGGATGGTGAAACTTCGAGTGTGAGCCTTCAGTCCTAAGAACAGATCAAGGCCGGGAGGAGGTGATGGATGACCCCTTCCCACCCCAACTATGCTGAACGCTCAGCAATGTTCCGGTTGAGTGTGTATGCCGAAGTCCAGCTCAGAAGCCATGACCATGCCCATGCCGCCACTCTATGGGCCGTCAGTTGTGATGCCGCACACGACATGCACGTCACCTCCGAGACTTTGTCATGGAAAGGAAGTGGTGGAGTGCGATCGGCTCAGCGTCACGCCCTGCTGCAGCGCGTGACTGGCCGGCAGCGGAGAGACAGTAAAGGGGGAGACAGCGAGCTTTCAATGTCACGCGTTTGGTTCAGGTAGGATCGTGTTATTAGGGCACGCAGGCAACTGTCCCTACCTTTCACTCAAGGCCACCTTTGATGCTGCGGCTTGCCTGCTAGGCAACCCTAGATCAGATATGTCGAAGCCCCAGCAAGCGCCTGCCCGGACTGCCAAGGTTGGGTTGGTGCGGGAAGACCAAAGGACACTGACGCATGGCACGAATGGACTGGGCTTGGGGGAGTTGAAGGTCTGCGCTTCGAGGGTCGGGTCTGGGATCCATGCGGGTAGCAAATCAGGAGACAGCAAGGGCTGCTTGAGGATGTTTTGACTTTTGAGTGTGTCCGTGGTGACATGGATCTGCAGATGGGTCGCAGCAGGAGAAGTAGATGCCTTGGGGTGCTTTCTGCTAGCATAGACCATGGACCCAGTGCGCTAGTCTGTGGCAGCATGCATCCATCCGCACTAGATTCATTGTGTGCCAGGCAAGTGCGCGACCTGCATTGACTATCGCAAGGAGGGTCAGAACCAGATCAACTCCAAGCGTTGATGCTCCTTGGCGGCCACGCGAGCTGCCAAAGGGGACGGATCCGATAATGCTTGAAACTGTCGAGTCGAAAGTACCATCTTCTCGGGGTTCTGCATCGAAAGCACTGCGTGCCTTTCGGCTCGGCTCGACGGCAGCATTGAAGTCAGCTCACGTGACACCCAGTCCTGGATCAGACTCTCCAAACGAGAGATCGGCCAGCTTCTGCTAGTGGCCCGGACGCCAACGACTGAAGCAGTTTGCAGGGTAGTGATGCAGTCGTCTAGAAGAGAACGTTGCAAACTGTAGCGCTGTTCCTTCTCATCCACGGCTCGCTTTCAGCATGGCGGGGTCCCGGAAGCAGAAGAGATGCGCTCGCAGTGCACCTGCCGCCTGCAATCCTGAGTGCCAATGGGCAAAGTTCAAAAAATGCGGCAGATGTGAAGACACAGCGCGACGCGAGAGATGATGATGTTTGGACGTGTGTGGCAGGCCGGCTGCCTTGCAGACTCTCTACCCGGGGGCGGCAGGGTACAGCATCGAGCTGGCAGCCATGGGCTTAAGCGCGGTAGGCCCCCCAAAGTCCCCCAAGGACGGCCGAGTAGCTTAGTGCTCGAAAATGACATGCTGCGTGAGGCTGGAAGGAGTCTGCGAAGCCTAAGTGGCTAATTGTCAAAGCCTATAAGCTCTCAGAAACCGGTCCTTGGATAGTTGAGGGCAGAAGCCGCCAGAGTCGGCGTGAACTCCAAGGCCTCAAAGCTGGGCCCCGGCTTCCCCGGCTTCCAGGCCTGGTAACGGTTGGCTATGACTGCTATGATTGTTCAAGAAGGCAAGTTTCTTTTCGCCGGAGTCGGCCGTTGTACATTATCACGGCGTGGCCATCTTGGCTCAGGGTGCGGGGCCTGGTAGTCCAGAGATGGCGCGAGGCCCCGTAGCTTCAAATACATAGCGACACCAGCAAAGGCGTGGATGTGAGACTGGCTGTGAGGCTTTTCGCGGCTTCGATTGATTTGACATCGTTGGGCATTCCCGACTTGGCATCGACGCGCTACTATGTCGGCTGAACCGTCTGTGCATGCGAACACGCACTGAACATCTGTGCTGCTTACATCGCTGCCTTCATTCAAGCTGTCTGGCCGAATTACGCCGAGTCTCGTTGGAGCTCTACTCTACCCGAGTCGGGTGATCTTGGAGCCAGGTTCCGGGCGACGGAGCTCATGCTTCAGAAGAGTCCTGGGTGTCTGGACAGTCCCAAGGCAGTGCCCCCCCACGGCTTTCCACATGCAGGATGGCAAGATCTTCGCAAGCTTAGTCCCGATCCTATTCGATCCTGATTGGTATTGGTTGTCAGGATTTTCGCACAGTCGGGCATCCCGACTTGGCATCGCCGTGCAAGCTGTTTGGCTGAATCACACGGAGTCTCGTTGCTTTGTCGTTCATCGGGACAGTTAGTGGAGCTTGGAGCTTGGAAGGCCGAATGCCCTGTTGACTCGGTTCGGGATGCTGGACCACCATAAGCTAAGAACTTCTACAGGTGGCACTGGCCCTGATCGTTTTCGCGAAGTTTTCCGGACGTGCGATCGCGCCGACCATCATCAAACCAAGAACCATCTGGCGGAGTCCGAGTGTGAGAGCATAGAATTCAAGCAGGACTCAGGGTGTTTCTTGGTCGGCAGATGGCGGCAGTTAAACTGGGGCTTTCCGAGTGCTTTGAGTACAATAGACTGCCGCTGGTTGACGGTACTCTGCGGGTGTTGTCTGCAAGCAGCGAGAAAACATATTCGCAGCCACTGATTCAATAGCTGAACATAGAAGTTTGGCAAGACGGGAGGCGATCACTGACCACCTTGCCCGTATCGAGCCGGGCTGTATGGGTGCCATGCGTCTCTTGTTTTATTTACCTGGCAGGCATATCACACTTCGGTCAAAGTTGATGACTTGGAGTATTCCTTCAGTGGGGTGCGAGCCCCAGACCATCACCAGTTGAGGTTAAGTGTGCGGCCTTGCCAACACAAAACTTTGAGGACGGCATAGTGATCGGCCGTGGCTTGCCCAGCCATGTCCGCATGGCCGACAAGCCGCAGGCATCAAGGGCTGCTTAGAACTTGCTTCAGTACATCATGCTCCTGATGTACTGCAGGTCCTCTACATGGGCTTGACCAGGATTTCTGGGGAGGACTTGAAGGAACAGTTGGGACGCTTCTTTAAGCGAGGCCGGAAGGTAGTCTCCGAATTTTGCCTGAGGTGTTTGTGAAGAGTCCTTGCCCAGCCACCTGTTCAAAGTGCACCGGATGGGACCTTGTCTGAGCGCAGGTACTTATGACCTCCTGAGGACTCGTTGCATGTCTATTCTGTCTGATATCTGTGACCAAGCATCGCCGGCCCACACGCTGCGAGGAAGAACTGCAACTCTTTCACTGATTGCGCCTTGTTCTTCCTGCTGGACCGAGCGTCGTGCGATGTTGTGCTTGATGTCACGATGACTTTTCTGACACACAGCCTGAAACTAAGACTGAACACTTACTTACTCATCGGGCCTGCTGTAGTTTGCATCCGGGTGCCTCTGGCACGTTCAGGACTCGCGACTGGACCCGGGCTATCGAGGCCTCTCTGGTGTGATTTGCTGACTTACCGGCATAGCCTGAACGCAGGCAACTTGTCCGTGCATGAGGAATGTACATGTTCATGTCAGCAACTAGCTCTTTGCAGTACGGTGGACACAACCGGATGAACCCGACATCATGACCTTACCAGAAGCAGAAGTAGTGGCAGGGGTAGTCGTAGTCCTGAGCATTTGCGCACAAGTCATGCTGAGAGACACGTAAAAACATGCGCTTGTCATGGCAAGCTCCGAGAGAGGCGCCCTGAGCCAGGTCTGGAGCAGTTGGGGCACATGGCGGATCGGCAAGCAGGCTGCTTTCAGAGCGATGCTTAAGCTTAGGAATGGAGCAAAGAGGCGTCGGATGAAGCGGCACTCCCAAACCGTCTGAAGACTTCAGGGTTTTGCAGGGCTTCGGCTGGCGGCCTTTTGGTCATTTTTACGTCGCTGAGGGGTTTTCAGAGCAAGGACTTAACACGACGTCAGTAAGAGAAGTCTGAAGCAGGCTTCATCTGCCCTCGATGTCAGCATACGGCTCGAGCTGCAAGCAAATTGCTATATCCCGGGCTCCTAAAAGAACCTTCATTGGATTCATGATGACAGCGATGCATGAGCACGTGTCTGTGCTGCCCGTGGTGAGGACCTCTGGCAGTGCAGTGGAGTCTCAAGAATTGCATTCTGTTGCGGGGTCTTCAGACAAAGGTACTTCTCGGCGCCTGTGGCTCGTGGAGATGATAGTGCTCAACTTGGTCATGATCATGTGGAACACTGACAACATGGTGTTGCCGGCTGTCTACACAGAGATTGCCAGACATTTCAGCGCCTCGCCGAAAGACCTGGCCTCTTTGGGGCTGGTACGGGGTATCTTCGAGTCGATCTTCGCCTTTCCCTCGGGTTTCTTGGCAGACAAGCTGCCCCGGCCGCTGCTCGTGTGGCTCGGTTCGGTGATTTGGGGTGCTGCCCTGGTGGGGGTGACCTTCTCCCCGAGCCTCTCCTGGATGATCTTCTTCAGAGCTCTCAATGGTGTCGGCTTGGGCATCGTGCAGCCGCTACTCTTTAGCCTAGTTGCTGACAAGAGCGATGCATGTGGTCGTGGCAAAGCATTCGGCTTCCTGCAGTTCTCTGGCAACATGGGGCAGACGGCTTTCACGGCTCTCGCAACCGGCATCGCATCTTACCAGATAATGTCGATGGCGGGCTGGCAGTTTGCTCTGGTGATCGTCGCTCTTTTGAGTATCGTGGTGGGCACTCTCTGCGTGCTTTTGGTTCAGGACCCCCGCGACCAGGACCCTCGAAGCATGATGGCAATAGTTCGTGAGGAGACTCCGAAACTTGGCAGCATTGTTTGCCTTCCGACCTTCATCATCATCATCGGCCAGGGAGTCTTTGGGACTGCCCCGTGGTTTGCTTTCAGCTACCTGACCATGTGGCTGGAGCTGAACTGCTTCTCTCACTCACATGCCGCTGCCATCATTGCTTGCTTCAACATTGGAGGGGCTCTGTCTGGAATTGTGGGCGGCGTGCTCCTGGATGCCGTCGTGCGGCGCTTTCCGGATCACGGGCCACCAGGACTCGCCCAACTGGCGGTCTTCACATCTGTGCCGCTGTTTGCTACCATCCTGTTCGGGCTCGGTGGCCTGGACAACACGAGCCCCAGCAGCTTCGTAGTCTTTGCCATGATTTTCATGGTGACCGGCACCATGATTTCTTGGTGTATGGTGATGAACAACAAGATGTTTAGCGACATCGTCCCCAAGGAAGCCTACAGCTACGTCTTTGCTCTGGACCGAATGGTCGAAGGCACCTTGGGGGCCTTGGGCCAGCCGCTGGTCGGCTGGCTCACCGATGACATCTTTCATTTCAATGCGACGACAGCCAACTCGCAAGACTGTTCTCCGGACAACGCCATGAAGCTGGGCAAGGGGATTTTCGCCGTGTCGGGCGTGGCATTTTCTCTGTGCTTCATGTTCTACGGCATGGGGCATTTCACCTACCCGAGGGACCGTAAGGTCGCAGCTCACAAGCCAAACCGCAGCAAAGGCACTGCTGAGAGCGATGGGCAGGCGAACTGATATTCCCAAGCAAACTGTAAAGGAAGCAACCGCGGAGGATTTGTCTTCTGCCTCAGTCCAACGCAGACTCCACACTTGCACGGCTTACATCCCTGAGAGCATGTACAGGTGCTTGAAGGGACAAATTCGTCAGATTTGCGGTGCAGGCACGTAAAGGCTTGCCTCGGTCTGCCTCTCCGGGCAGCCTACACTGCAGTTTGAAGTGTACAGCAACGTAGGGCCACACAGAAATGTGGGACATATGTTGGTCTTCTCCGCATGTGGAGAGAACAGCGGGTTTCTCGCATGAAAGCATCGCTCTCGGACGTAGAATTCTGGAGCGAAAGAGACCTGGTGACCTAGACACCTGGAAAGTGCGAGCTGTGAGAGTCGAAGTCCCGTTATCCACAGCTGTGCCCCCGACACCACAGCTATGCAGGTATCGTTCAGGCAATCACAGAAGGCGGCTACCGTCCCAATCCGAACGCAGATAAATTCAGCGCCGCTGCCTAAGCCGCTTCAGTCTCACCGAGTCCACTGAGTCGCGCACCCTGGGTTAACAGCCGACGTTCACTAGATTGTTGCGCGGCCCTAGATGCATCATGAGCACAAGCCCCGAACCGAAGCCCGCCCGGCGTCAGGCGACCAGGAAATTCACAAAGGCAGATGCAAGAGGCCGTAGGCGTTGTTTGCTGGCTGAGGTGGAGTTCACGATTTCTGAAATCGACAAGATCAAGTCGTCATCGGCTTTTGGACTGCGGTGACGGTGGGTTGCCTTTGCCGTCGGCGCATTGGGTGAAGCCAGCGTTCGCAAAAAGGTGAAGGAAGCAAGTGTATCCTCGTGCGTGAGACATGGTGCAGGTGACGGGCCTGACGCGACTGGGACTTGAAAACGGTGTAAGATCTAGGTTCCTTTCCCAAGTTCCACACTTCGCTCGGCCTGTCAGACTTGGTACAGATCGTCCCGAGCTGCAGCATGAGGAAAGATTGAGAAAGCGATTTAGGCGTTATATAGGCTACGGGCGTTTGCTGTTGGTGGCGTGCTGCACTTTTTAGGTACACCGCCCAAGGCGTGTGCTCGATGCACAAATGTTTATTGAATGGTGTGACTCACACAGCTGGGAGCACCCAATTCGCCCTGCTTAGGCGGTGCAAGCGTAGTCTGCTAGATTTGCAAGGAGTCGAATCTACCTAGTTGCCACGTCCTGGCACCGAACTCTCAAGTGACAGTTGCCTGGATGGGGTCGCAAAAGCAACGCGTAGCAGCTGCATTCAGCATTTCACACAGATCAGCGGATAAGAGGTTCAGCATGCAGCATGCCAAAATTGCCTTGTTGCTCTGTGCCGCATTCGGTTCAGGCTGTAGTAGTGCATGGTGTGAAAGGAGGCGGGTTGACAGTCCCCGGCATGGCAGACGTTGCAGACAGTCCCTCGGTCATGTCCAAGAAGCACTCGTTTCCACACTTAGCTTCGCCTCCATACTGGAAGCAAATTGATTTTCTCTTAAGCTGGGTGTGCCTTTTTATGTGCTATCTGTATCTCGTTCGTGGCGTGTCACAGCTTCCCTCTTGCATGTTGCAATAATGCGACGGATGCCCTAAGGTGATTTGCCGCGGTATGACATTTTCGAAAAGAATACCTTCCTGGATTTTCCCGCTCCAAAGCCGTTGATGCTGGAAAAGGCTCAAACAGATCCTCCGCCTGGGCTGGAGGGACTCTGCGGGATTTCCAGCAAGTTCGTATCAGAAACGGACCGATCCGAAGATTCCACCGCAGCGGACGAGACGGAGGCTCCGCCGCCTCTGCCCTTGGAGGTCTTTGTAACTCCCGACTGCTTCGAGGATCCGGAGTTGTCTAGGCCGCTTTCTGCGGCAGCACCGACTTTCATCCCCATCCCTGGGGCCGGGGCCCTTGGGGCGCTTCCGATGCATGGCCTCGCGAACCTGCCGGGGATCCCCGATGCCTTTGTTGGCCCCCCCTCGATCCCGGAGCTCTACCGGCCAAAGACACAGATCCTCTTGGATGCTTGGCAAAGCATCTTCTTGGAGCTTTGTGGCTGGCATGCGTGTATGCATGGGGTTTTCTTTCTGGGACCGTTAGAGACTTCCTAATATCACTAAGCTTCAACCTGAACTGGCTGCAACATGTGCTGCCTGAGCCAATGAGGAAGAGATGCTAGCGCCCTCTGTGGTGCCTGTCACAGAACTCGCTACTTCAAGGTTGCCCGTGGCGCTGTGGTACGCTTTCTCTGTTGTTTGTCGGACAGGGCCTTCGCCAATGTCGTGTTGTTAGGCTTCGAAGCCTAGGTCAGGCTTTTTTCTATATTTTATATATACCCCCCAAGACTTCCGCAATTGACTGCAGCATGTAATGTCTCAGGTTCCCCCCGCCGCCACCAGCCATGCCGGCGCCGGTCTTGGCAGAGCCTCCTTCCCCGGAGGCCGAAGTTTCAGAACGCGCAGTAGGTCAATTGCTTCCTGCTTGATGCATTGTTGTGCATTTCGTGTCGCTGATTAGGTTCCTGCGGAAGCTCCGGTCGAGGGGCCCCTGCCGCCGCGCTGCGATCTTCAAGTTGGGCAGCTTGTCTGTGAGGCGCCGCAAGTTTTCAGCTGGGACCGGACGTGCCCCGCATTGGCCTGGCCAGGAGCCTGCTCCGGGCATCTGGGATGCGGCAGCCTGAGACCTGTAGCCTTCCGATGTGGCTGTGAAGCACATATTCATCATGCAGAATTCTCAGATGCTCCAGGTTCACTGGAGCGCGGACAGCCGGCAGTGACTCGGGCAGCAGCGGCAAGGCTGCCACTTCTTTTTGTCAAAGTTGAATCGGCCCCTCTTCACGCTTTGCATGAAGAGTCGGCCATTGGACCCAAGGCTCTACACCACGACAGCCCTTGGCTGAGAAAGTCGATGAAGCCAGATGCGGAAATTCATTCAATCAAAAGGCTAAACCAGTGTGTGACATCCCACCCCACCCACAGCACACTCATGGACCCAGGTGCGTCTTGTCTCGAGCATCTTCATGCCGGGATCCCAGACGAACTGAAAAACCCACTCGAACAGCCCAGAAGCGTCGCCTTACTCGCAGGAGCTTGCAAGATTTAAGCCTCAAGCATTTCCTCCAGCCTACTATGCCAACGCCATCTTCGCGGACTCAGGCTGGAGGTTGAAGGCAGCAGCCTACCCTTCAAGGCTCCGTCTGCTCTTGTCTTTAGGTTTGAGCTGCTTCAGCAGGGTTGTACTGTAGCTAGGATCTGATAGTTTTAGTTGGAGAGTTCAGCAGAACGTTGCGGGACCTTTTTGCCACGGTTGCGATCCCTAGCCGTAGCGCCAAGTACCCGTTTCCTTGCGCATGGGCAGGTGTTCCTGCATCCGAAGGCCGAGAAGGGAAGCTCTACTTATCCGGTTGAGCGGACGAGTTCTGAAGCAACCACGGGAATGCAGTATATCCAGCTAGGCTCTCCAGATCTCACTACAGGAGTTCAATTGAGATGTCGTGCGGCCGCTTCCAAGCGTAAGAACTCGCGAGGTGGTGATTAACAACAAGCGAGGCGGTGGCTTCAAGAAAGCCAAAGGGAAAGGCAGCATCGTTCTCAAGTGCGAGGCTATGCGGATGCCGTGGGGGGTTTCAGCTCTAAGTTTCCGTCAGTAGTGTGAACTGTAGTTAGTGCGCCTAGATTGCCAACAGACAAGACTTCAAGAGAAACCGGTAGGTGGGGGGACGGTGCCAGGACAAGCCCCCTCCGAAGTTCTAAGACAAGAAGGGGAGCTGGAGTGAGACGATCACATCGTGTCCGGTTGCGCGAGGCAGAGGATGTGAAGAGGTATCCCAAGCTTGACATCTCCTTCCGAGTTGGAAGGCTGGTCACAACGGACATCGAATATCACTGTGTCCTAGCTTGAGAACTGATTCCTACCTCGCACCACCGAATTAACATGCGCCTGTTAGTGCAAGCTACAAAGGTCTGCCCAAAGGCCGCCATTCTAGAAATGTATCTGCGCAGAGTGAAGGCGGAGGAGGTATCCCTGTAGCCATGGGCTCTGCAAAGAGTCCGAACCATGGCAAACTCATAGCTAAAGCGATGGTTGCTGAGAATTTTGTAGAAGGTTGCAGTCGTGAGACAGCCTTGCTGGACTTCGGCGCAAACTGATGCAGTGACTGCCTCCGCCAGCTGTGCAAATTTATCCGGCTGACAGGGGTTCTCGTCTCCAGCCACCTCGGTCGGTGGAAGCGCATGACTTTGGGGAGTGCGGCTCTTGGTGGGTATTCGAGGGTGCTCAGGCTTGATCGCTTGCCCGACCGACCGCACGGGCACAGCTGCGCAGGCCAGAGATTCTAACAAGGCCAACTTTCCACGATAAGCAAGGCACCCCACTTATGGGGTCTAAGAATCGCTCCCAGTTTTTGCTCGTGCCTGTCTAGACGAAACTGGTGGACCACGTGTCACGAGGCAGAGCTGTTGCTGCCTTCCAGAAGCGCAACAGGAGTGGGACTTCAGGCGGCGTCGGCTGAGTGGTTTTTGGGAGTGGTGATGGGATTTCATGTTGGGGCAGCTCAGTAGCACTGCTTGGTCGGGTTTGGTGCGGAGAAACAGCCTTATGCTCTGCGGAGCTTCTGCTTCTTCGCAGTTCGGTGGACATTGACAGTTGTTTCCCACTGTGACTATGAATGCGCTGGGTTGGGGGTTAGTTCCACAAACATGTTGGCCAGGCGACGGCCTGGCAAAGGCCTATGGATGTATGTGAACTCCTACGCTACCATCCAGTCGCAGCACTTCCCCTCCCAGAAGCCTTCAGGCCTAAAGCTCTTCTCTAGCATGCCACAGATGCCACCAATTCGAGAACTTTCCGATTCCTAGCCCATAGCCAAAGACCAAGATCCAGGGGAGGCAAACCATGTTCTGGTGACGAGTGTTATGGAGGTTTTTCAAGTTGGTCTTCTTCAGCCTGATGCTCGTGTTTGGATTCTTTCCATTTCTTTCCCTAAATTTACGACTGGTAGCAAGTGCCTCCTCTGTTTGCGAGGAGCTTGGTGGATGAGTCAGGAGCTTTGCTGGTCTCACTGCGCATAGCCGCCGACCCAGCAGAAGTGGGGAGGATTGCGGCTCTGCAGCCTTTGTATTTGCGGGCCTTCTCGTGACCTAGATGTACACAGAAGTTCAGGGAGCCCGTTCCACGTTTTCCAACCTGTGCAGTTCCGCCAACAGCGCTACCCTGACCCTTTATGAAGAGGTGAAGCACGGTGGAGCAGAACTTGCCACAAGTTCTGAATGCAAGCCAAGCTGCTGGAGTTTCGTGCTGTTTTGCTGTCTGCAATCTTACATGGATCGACTCGGAGCGACACAGGTAAGAAGTTTCGAGCGAGAGTTGCGCATGGCATTCCTTCCATTCTACCGTGCCGAGGTGGCAGCAGAGAGTTCGTAACCACGTCATCAAAGATGACTGGTCTGAGATGCACATTAGCACTTATGGCAGATGCAGATCTAATCGGTCCCATGTGAAGCATCCTACAATCCTACAACCTGGCCCTGACACTGGCAGCAACGGATACAGGCAGAGTTTCGGGCCGATTTCAGTCATGTCCGTTTCAGTTTCACTAGGGAAGGGCTTAGGATCCCTTGCCTTTCCTACGTAGCCTTGCTAGCTTCGGTCTGCGCAAGCACCGCGCCGTAGACTTCTAACTTCTACAGCTGGCTGCAAAGGATGCCAGCGCAGTTTCTGCAGCATGCAAGCTGTCTTCTTCAGGTCGCCGCCCGAAAACCATCCCGAGACACTGACCGACAGAACGGGCAGGAAACAGCTTGCTTGCAGCTTCATCTGGTCTCAGTAAGTCCAATGCGGTGTGCAGATGCCACTTGGGTCCGTGGGTTTGTCGATAGTCGATCTCTCCTCCAACTTGACCGGCCCGGCATGGCCTGATAGCAAATGGTCCTAAAACCAGAAAACTGCAACCCGGTGACCACAAAGCCAAAGGAGGAGGACAGCCAACCGAGGTCATGCTGGCTACCCTATTCTCTGAGATCAAAAGATGCTTCTTTCTTGGGCTGAAGCAGCGGCATTGTCTCGTTCTTTTCTTCTGAGACAGGACACGTAGCCAGCTTGACCGGGTGGGCGGCCCTTCAAGACACTGCCTGCACGTGTACAGGTGTGCGGTTGTGGTGATGGCAGTCAAAAGGACCTAAAGACAGGAGCCTGACAGATTTGAGTCTGCAAAGCGATTCTAGAAGCCATGCTTTCAGATGTCTGCCGCGTCTTATTGTCCGTGTACACATCAGACGAGGAATGTCGCGAATGGGCATGGCATGGCATGACTGTCTAGAGTTCACCATTGGTGGGTAAACAGTTGGACCAGTAGATCTGGCCGTAGGACAACGTAGGACGATGAAAATGGCATACAAGCTGTAGATCATACCCGGTTCCGTTGTCACCCATGGGAGATGCTGCAGAGGCCAGCGTGAAATCCAAGCTGTCAGAGTCAGAGTCAGGGCTAGGACTATGGTTATCGCCAATAGCAGTTGCATCTACCGTCAAAGGGGGGCAGACTCCAAGAAGCCAGCTATCATGCCCAGGATCTTCAGTCTCTGCTGCAGGCGGGCAGATGCAAGCTGCACAAGTTGAACGCGGTTGAGTATTGCACTGCATTGCTTGAGTATGCCATTCGCGACGGGAAGGGATGAGGTGATGAGACGTGGGAGTAGAAGTGTTTTCATCACCAGTACGGTCATCATGAGTCTTCGTTGCAGGTCCTACACGGCTACTTGAGCTACTCATTTCTGTTGTCGCTGCTATGTGTCCTCACCGTCTCAAAAGCTATCGCCGGCGCCGTCGTCGTTGTCATATGAGCATGTTCAGGTTCATGTGTCCTGTAGCTGCTATTCAGCCAGCACGGATGGAGCTGAAAGCCCGTGGCTCCCAAGTGAAAGAGAGCACAGTAGCCCCCAGGTCACCACCCTCACGCACCGTGGAGCTTCCTCGAAGATGTAGGCAGCGATGGTACCCTTGCTTCGGAACTCGGCCAGGAGGTGGTGGAGCGAAATCGCCATGACGGAACCCCAGTTTTCTACTGTAGTTACTGTAGTTTTTTTTTGCAGTTCCATTTGCCAGGTGGCTCATTCGCAGGACCTTGAGCGAAGTAAGTGCAGACCCATTTTTCGTTTCAAGCTGCTCTTGCCAGGTCTCGGGAATGGCACTGGTCCGCCAGGCTCTGAGCTGGGGCGAGAGAAGCAAAAAGCGATTCTTTGCATTCTGCGCTATGTTGACGTGTTAGTTTTTCATGTGCAGCCTCGCTGGCTCTACACAGCAGGGACGCACTCAGCTCCTGCCAAGTGAGCCTTCGGAACGTCGGTTAGCAATGAAGCAAGCCGGGCGCTTGGAACATGGCTGTGAAACACTCTTGATGTCTTTGAGTTTCACGGCATATTATTCAATTTGGAGTTTTGCGGATTCCACTGGAGCCTCTGCGGCCGCGGTACGAAATTTCTGCTGCACGCTGCGCACGGAGATGCGGCTTCGGTGATCCAAGGTCCTTGTTGCGAGCTCGGTGGCGCTTGCATCGCGGCTAGGTCTTTCCTTGAAGGCCCATTGCGATGCTCCAATCGGCAACACGATTGAAGCGGTTCCAGGTTGAAGTTTCTTCCATCTGCCGAATCGGAGCTTGAAGCCTGCACCGAAGGTGCCTGCTAGCCTGGTGGAAGTGGAGCTGGATGCGGCGGACTGTTGCAGAGCTGGTCATTAAGTGTTATTGTGACTGTTTGTGCTGTAGTCCGTCACCGGGCATAGTTGCGACTTTGACTGCATCTCCGATGGACCAGTATCTGGTCCATAATGGAGCTTGGAGTGAAGTGATTCGAGGCATGACTTGGAGTGATTATTTCCAGTATGTGTGCTACAACACTGCACAACAAGCGTGGGCGGGTTTCGGGTGCCAAGCAGCTCTAGCCAGTTCTGCGAAGCAGCAACTCGCCTCCAGGTTTCTCATATTCGTGTAGCGAGGGCTACGTTCTCAAATCCAACTTCCACGAGATCACGGGCAGCTCTGACAGCGAGTGCTGCCAGCCCACGTGCGCATTGTGGTCATGCACGGGGCATTTTGCACACACCTGAGTTGACTTCTTCGAGCAACTCGAAGAGTCCGTCTGAAGTGAAAGCACCCCACCAAGCCGTCTGTAAGGTCGCCAATGATTCCTACAAGGGCAACACCGGCAGCAGCAACGAGCAGTGCTGCGATCAGACCTGCGCAGCTGTGACGTGCCCCAAAGACCAGAAGGCGGCTGGATGTAGTGTGTATGTGAATGTGCATTGTGTATATACATATTATATATATATATGTATACACATGCTTGTATATATATATATATAGAGAAACATATAAGTACCAATATAGATAAATAAATATGAATGAAGATATTTCTATACAGTATAAAACGCACGCACACACACACACACATATATATATATATGTTTATGTTATATATATATATATAATTATGTGATATTAAACTACTGTATATGTGCATGTGTGTGTATGTACGTATGACGTACGCATGTAGGTATGTATGTATGTACGAATGTATGTCTGTATGATTATGTATGTATGTACATATGTATGTATACATATACGATCCCTTGCCTGACCTCGTCGAGTGCGAGTGCTAAAAATACATATACGATCCCTTTAAGTTGTCTTACAGAGCCTTGAAAGCACCTTCGGACGCAATGTTCAGGTGCCATTGGAACTGAGGGACTCCCCCGGAAGGACACCGAAGGACTGCAAGGAATGTTTTGATTTCGGGGTGAGCCTGGGGAAGGCAAAGAGGGATATGGCAAAGGCTCCAGACCAGGGCAGCCTTGCATCCATCTTGAAGTTTCAGCATGATGAGGCATGTCTACCAGTTTCCATTTGGATTGCCAGCACGGAGGGAGCGTGGGAAGGTCAGGCTCACGGCAGCCATGCCCAGGCATGTGTCGAGAGCCGTCGGACGAGTCGCAGAGGATCTCAGACGCCAGGGTTGCAAGGTCGCAGGGTTGCAGGCGGAACGAAGCACAAAGGTTCCAAGTCAAGGCTTCAACAAGGCTCCAACTGAGATAAGCTTCTTCCTGCTCAAGTAGCGTGTGTGGTGGCTACATTGGACCTTCTGCCGTGCAGTTGTGCTTCCGCATGTATCGAGCAGGACTGCTGCAAGGACACCTGCGCTGCTGTTGTGTGCGAGCCCTTCCACGTGCCCATCAGGACATCGGATTTTCTTAACGTTTCTATGTTTCTTGCCCACGCCCATAAATTCATCCATGTGCCGCTGTGGGAGACCCCTTCAGGGCGAACCTGCATTCTGTATATCCAGATGGTGAAGACCAGAGCTTCTGCTGTGAGCCAACCTGTGGCGCCTACACCTGCGACTACCGCAAGGGCTTGGTGCTGGATCCAGTTTGGCCCTCACATGATTTAGGGTTTAGGGTTTAGGGTTTAGGGATCATGGAGCCATTCGGGCTTGTAACCTCGGAACTACTGAGGCGAAAAGGATGGTTGCCAATCCGAGCGATGGGACTTGCTGCACAGCAACGTGCTCCAAGACGGCTTGCCCTGCCGGCTTCGAGATTCTCGGAAAGCCAATAGCTTGCTGCACCCTGCATGTAAGCTTAAGTCATGCATCAACCAGCTTCCTGGAGGATCCCGATGATAACCTACTGTCTGGAAAGCTTGTTTGGTCAGCGTCTGCATGAACTGTTAATCCGGAGTTGTGTTCCTAGGACGCGCCCGGAAAACGCCAACAAGGATGCACGGGAAGTGGCTGCTTGGCCAAATAGCACTGCGTACCATGCAGCAACTTTTGCCAAAGCCGGTGGTAAAGATAGCCATGGCATTATTGTAGCACTAGTGAGGTTCCGTGGACCACGAGTGTTATGCAGATGTTGATGTGGCTTTTCGCTATACTGAGCCGGAAGCACGAGGAATGCTGCGAGCCCCTTTGCAGCTCGCACTCCTGCAGCAGCGGCTGGGTCCCGGATGAGACCAGGGCAGCGGCCTCGGGTTTGTATCGCGGGGGTCACTGGAGTCAGGAACAGTGTCCAGGCTGTGATCAAGGTGGTATGGGAGTTCGATGCGATGCTCCAACATTTGTTGGCAACCCGTGGTCCAGGGCAGTGGCAGAGCATAGCGGCGCATCTAGGAAGAAGCACCGCAAATGCCTTCTATGCTGGAATAGATCCAGAACAGTAATCGCCGTTCTCTGCTTAAGCGAGGATTCCCGATCTAATGAGAAAAAGGACGAGTATGAAAAGCATGCGGTTGTGCATCAGGGGCAAGAAAACGGCTAAGTAAACATATGAGAAGAGGCCTTTCTTAGATTCTCCATACTTCTCTATCAGATTTATTTCGCATTTTTCGCTCCCTGCAACGTCGGATTTTTCAGCTCGCGACCTGAGGGTTTTGGTGGGGGGTCGGCGGAAATCGGAAGTATGGAATCGCACGCCTTGGCTGCAGGGCTACACCCAGTGACAAATAATGTGGACCCAGGTTCTCGTGCATGTTTAGACTCGAACTTGGACATGCGATCCACACTTTAATTTAGTCTTCTCATAACTCGAGCCATCTTGTTATCGCAAAACAATCATTTCTGGAGATCCTCGTTCAGCAAGGCGGTGGAAAACTATGCCAGAATTCATTTGCAGGAGTTGCGCATGTTGTCACCCTTGCATTGCCAGCGTCGGAGGCGGAGCGGGTGGGCAATACAGATCAGGCTCGTGTTGCTATTTGCGTCCATTGCTGTGGTCTGGCTGACCTGTCCAACCGAATGTGCGCGCACATGGAGCAGGAGTGCTGCCGAAGGACCTGCAAGGAATACACTTGCTCTGCCGGCTGGGCGACAAATCCAGCAGCTGCAGGCAAAATTGGCACCTGGCTTGCATGCTTTCAAGCTTTCGCTTTGCCTTTTTTTCGTGCTCCGCATGCTGCAAGTACAAGTACAGGTAGCACGCCTTGTAGTGAATCTGCCTGAGAGCGAGGTGTTGACGACGAAACTTGCTGCTCGAAGACTTGCGCACAGTTTCAGGAGCAGTGTACTGGAGACTACGCGCCAAACGGCGCGACGAATAACACAGTTGGCCATACTGCTGAGACGTGCTGCTCCAAGACCTGTGCTTTATACTCCTGTGGCACGGGCGTCGTCATTCCCAAGAGCCAGAGCTTCTAGCCTGAACCTGTCCGTCATCATCCGTCATCGCATGCCCACTTGGCGAGTTGCATGTTGACTTCTTGCAAGCCCTAGGTGTTGTTGGAAGCTCCGACGAGCTTTGCTGCGAAAACAGCCGTTGCCCGGCAATGCGCAATATGACGAAGATCGATAGCGCCAAGGGCTGCAACTCGTTGGGCGAGGATTCCAACATGCCCGTGCATGGTAAGTTTCTATTCGGAGGGAGATGAGATAGCCCTAAACTCCTGCTCGGCAAGAAAGGGGGATCACCTGTCGGCTCGGCTTGTGAGTGAGGCAGGGTACTCCGTGTCATTGCTTGATGATGATTGTGTGTTCAGGACGTTTGCTCCAAGCACTTTGTCGAACTGCAGCTTCCCTGCAGTATGCTCCGTTGAGCCTCTCTTCGGGTAGTCTTCACCACCGGAGGTTGTGCCCCCGTGCCTCCAAGGAAGAACAGCATCACCAACAAGACGGATGCGCTTGCTTGTCAAATGACTGACATCGGCCTCTGCGGTTTGGGTAGCGTTCCTGAAGTCCTCCCCACCGACTGCGCGGAGTAGGAGCGGAAGCAGAGAAAGCATTTAGATGTACAGCAGTACAGCTTCTGTGGAAAAAAGTGACAGTGGCCATCGCTTGTGCTGGATTTGTCAGTCAATTTGGAAGCAATGTTACCAGCTCTTCCCAAGGTCAGGAGGGTGGGGAGTCCGAGGAGGACTCCGATGGAGCTAGGGTGACGAATCCGATCTCGGAGTATGAGATCTGGGTCGAAGGATGTCGAAAGCTTCCGAGCCATGGGTAAACGGACTAGTCGTAGGACATCAGAGGTAGGTAGTGGCGGCAGGACGATTTTTCCGAGTCAGTTTTGATCCGAGTATGATGCAATCTGTTGATTGGCTTTCGGGTTTGTATTGCGCTAGAGCTTGTTGGCTTGAGAAGCAGGCCAGGCTGTGCAGGGACCTGTGGCAAAGGTTAAAAACCACTGCGCCGAAACCGCAAACGAGTCAGCAGGCGGCGTATTCGGTTCCGTGCAGCGCCAGACCCTTAACCAGTTGAGAAAAGGCCGAAACTTCAATCCAGGGGTGAATCATGAAGTGAGCCCGGAGTGCATGAAGATTGAATGCCGAAATCGGAATGAATCCCAAATTGAGCAGCCAAGTGAATTGAAAATGAGAGCAACCGGATCAGAAAGTCCTTGCTTCGGACCGGTGCCGGAGACCTGATATCTTAACACCAGTCGTCTCTAACACCACCTGTTTATCACCTCGACGGCTCTTGGATCCTTCATAGTTTCGCAGGACCTGGCCCCAATCGCCGTAGGAGTTGCGCCGCCCGGCCCAGCTGTGGTCGCAGCGTTGCCCGGAACTTGGAGCCTAGCGGGCGATGGAGTATCTTCAGGGTTGATAGGGGGTTTTGTGTTTAGCATCGAATTGGAGAAACTCGGAGGATTGTGGAGAGTTCGTAGGTTGAGTTGGGCGCTTTGCGACCAGAAACTGCAGGTTTTGATACGTGATACCATGCAGAGTGTGGGGGTTCCCACCCTTCTTCCCGATGAATGTTGTCAGGTGCAAGTTGGGGTTCACTAGGTCCCACTGTCAACGGAGACTCGTGATTCTGCTCTCTGCCAAATTGTAGAATTCCTCACCTGCTGTTCCTCAGCGGCTCGAGAGACGGAAGTTTGCCATGTCCAAGTGGGTCTGACAGCGCACCGTGCGCCAGGGGGGTTCAACTACAAGCCCGCATGCATACGACAACAGATTGAGCATGGCATGTGCACAAGAAGTGCTGTTGGCCAAGAACGGCCAGCCAGCTCCATTCCTCAAGCAGCTGCAGCTCTTAGATAGTGAATAACGCGCTTCGCAAGAAAGCTGCACCGTTTCTACGGCTGCCACCTGCATGGCTGAAGTTCAGCGAATACTCGAGCAGCTGCAGGGGTTGCTGCGAGATGAGCTGCATGCGCCTGGGCAATGCCGGCCTTAAAGCCAGTTGTATCCATAACATAGTGCTGAAAATGAGACTGCCTTCTGAGCGTCGCGACATTCCAAAGTTCTTAGCGGCCGAGATGAGGGAAGACGGTAGAAGGACAGGTTCTTCTCCGAACCGAAGCCTTGAAGCCTGGGGCTCCACCTCTGACCGGATGCCTAAGTGGAGGGATGTGGAGGGTTTTGTCTTCTGGGTGCTTACTTTCCCCTGAGCATTCGATAGAATGCTCGGTGTCACACAGACTTGCGGTTAAACCTTGCCTGCCATGTGCGGTTGCGAATGCCGAAAAGGCAAGAACTTCCGGCTGAGGCGGTCTCCTCCATGGCGGATAGCCTCGCGAGGAGCTGTGCCCATGCAGAGCGGCTCCTGGAGTCTTCAAGGCCTACAAACTTCAGGGCGAAAGACTCTGAATGTTGTTGGCCTACTGAGCCCAGTGACGACGCGGGTGATGTTCTCCAGGGCCGAGGACAAATGTTGGATTTTTGATGATGAGGATGATGTTGGTGACACTGAGGGTGTTCTCAAGCAAGCTTCAGATGATGTTAGAGTTCCTTGCCGTGAGGCTGAAAGCTAGGCTGTTTCTGCATGACTACCTCATGTACTCCTGTAGTTTGAGAGCTTTCGAGCGAACTGTCCACATTCGTGGACAGGAAGCCCTTACCCTGGCCAGCAGCTGCTAGATTCAACCCAGGAGTCGGTGTGATAGAGCGTGCGTGCTGCCTCCATAGCCGGACTCTGCTTCGCTTGGCAGGAAGACGATTGAGTCTCCAGCAGGGCAACCGCAGGACCTGCGGATTTCGGAGCTTAGTTTCCTCAGTCACTATTTCTACCAAGCGTGATCATGGCTTGGCCCGGGCTGTGCCGATCGCTTCAACCAGTGCCCTCACCAGCGCTAGAACCACCGGCACAACCACAATCACCAAGCGTCACAAGTGACCCAAGTGTTAACCGGATCGTGGAACAGGAAGGCAGTCGAGAATGCGCAGGAGGGTTTGCAGGAACTACAGGAGCAAGTAGTTTCGAAGTCATAATTATAGTAATAGTATTTTTAATTTGTAGCGATAACAGTAGAAGTAAGAATAAGAATTGTGACAATAATGACGCTAATGATTCCTAAAGATATATAATAATCATAATTTCAATAATTTCGTCTCTGGGGCCCCAGTGGCTTTCTTGTCCTCCCGCACTCCAGCTTGGAGAATGGGAGTTCTGTGGCAACCTGACTAAGAAACCCTGGTTTGGGGCAGGGTTTAGGGTTTGGGGGAACACGGTGACATGTGCATGTTGTTTTTTACTTTGCGGAAACCTCTCGAAGACCTTCAGGGCTGTGTTTCCACCTCAAAATGAGATATTTTATTGTCGTTAACGAATTTTCTCTGGCCGGATTGTCTGAAGTTCAGGAAGTGCTGGACTTCGATGTGGAGAGCTGGCTTCATTGGCGCCAGCTTCGGGCTGGGCCTGAGAGACGTCAACGGCTGAGTCTTCGGGGCTACGGACGGAATGTCAGAGTCCCTGAAGGCGAAGTTCATGCAGGTGAAGCAGCAGGAGGCATCGCTTCAACAGGTGCGGGACGTGATGTTTTGACGCACGGCTTGTGCCTTTTGATGCTTCAGCTCGTCCCCCGTCCACAGCTGCGTTCATAAGTAAACCGCAGCACTCGACGATCGAAGCCATAGAAGACCCGGTTGACGGGGACGGAGGCTACAGACACTGCTCGCACGGCTTGGATGGAGCAGCTTCATGCAGGATCCAGGCCAGGCGATACAGTGGATCCAGATTTCCAAACTTTCTGGCTTCGGGCTTGATTTCAGGTAATCAGCTGCGTGGATGAACTGACGGGTCTTATCTTGAGATCAGAATCACCAATCTCCAGGCCAAGTTGCGCAAAACCCAGACAGGAAGATGTGCGTTTTACAGGTTTCGAGACAAGGTCTCAAAGCATCCAACCATTTGGACCCAAGCTACTTGGGGTTCTCTTTCAGGGTACTATAGGGTTCTATAAACGGAGCCCCTTTAAGGGTTTAGGGTCTACTCTAAGGCGGCCCGATGGTTCCCGCCGCACGTTTCTTCGTTTCCAGAGCGCCGTGGAGCTGGCGAATCTCGCCAAATTTGCGGCCAAGGAGGCCCAGGGTCTTGAACTTGCAGTGGTTTTAAGTTTATCTTCGTATATCTCAGTGTGAAATCTTCTCATGCTTTACAAAACAGTCGACAAGCTATCGGTACTGTAGTCGCAGCAGCAGCCCCCGCATCCGGCGCCTCCCACCACTACCGCCACTACCACCGACTACTCAGAACACATATGGGCCATATGGGTGTCATGAATTTGCTATTCGTTTGAGGTAGTGAGGGTTCCGAACTTGGCACGCACGTCCCTGGCCGGCACATTCCGCACGATTCCGCACTGCAAGTCTGTTGTGAAAATGTCGGGTGTTCTTCGTGCATGGAGCTGGTGTCATGCATGTTTTGCCAGGTTCTCCCTTCACCTGGGGACTTCTTCAGGTCAAGGCAGCTGTGGCCGCCCAGCGCGGGCCGCCACGATGATAGTCCCGACCGTCCAGTGATGGAAGAGCTGTCCGAGACGTTCCTTTACATTGCCTTGGAGAAGTGGCTCGGCCGACTCCTCGAAGAGTCCAGCAAAGTCGTCCCCGCTGCCGCAGCCGCTGCCAGGGCTACAGACGACATGTCCAGGCATTGCAAGGCGCCAACCAGGGAGGCCCCAGCGAGCCAGAGACAGACAGAAGAGGAAGTCCATCCCTCTGCGCTCTTGCAGCACCTCCCTGGTGGCCCACTTGCTGTGAAATCGGTGATCCTGGCAAAGCATCGAGCTCGTTCGATGAAGCTGCAGGCGGATCTGATGAAGCTCTGCTGTGGCCGTAGCATGCCTGCCAGAGCCAGCCTTCTCGATGAGGTGCCCCACCTTTTCCCGCTCTGGGTGATAAACTCGCTGTCTTCTTTTTGTTTTATACGGAGGGTGTTATCTGTTCCGTGCAGAAACAGAGGTTCTAGATGTCCGAGCCAGGTCAAAGTCCTGCTACAAGATCTGCAGCAGGGACAAGCAGATCCACAAGCCGTGGCATGTCCCAAATTGGGCACGTGGTCGGTGGACAGGGGACAGGTAAACACGAGAGATCCAGAGGCTTGTTGGATACTTTGAGCACGACGGCCTCATATCTCACTCCGTTGCTACTCGTACTGCCTTGCATCCGTGCAAAGTAGTGGTCCTTTCTGGCTTTGGGATTCACCGAGGCCCGAGAAGCGCTCGCGCGGGCGCTGAAGCTGCTGCGGCTGGCAGAGGCCTTGTGCTGCGAGCGCCGAAAGCTGCGAAGCTTCTGGCCGCTGCCGGATGACTCCTCGAGTCATGCACCCGTGGATGCAAATGAAGCTAAAGAAAACCGAAACCCGAAACCTGCCATCTGATGAGCTGCGCACTGCCTGCTTGCAGAAATCGTGCACCAAACCTGCTATCTGAAATGGCTGAAGTTTGGCTGAAGCGTGTCAAGCTCCATCATCAGACCTCCTTCGGAAGCCAGCAAAACCCATGTCGCCCGTGGCGTGCGTGTTGCGCACAACTTCTTTGTTCTTCCTGTTGGGATCCTGGCCATACCGGGAAGCCCGAGTTCAGTCCACGGACTCCACGCAGTTCGCCCCGTATGGGAAACATCATGATCGTTGACTCATCCTCGGGCTACGACTCATCGAGCTTGCTTCCTGCGCAGCGGTTACCACACCATCCGAGACCTTGTGGACGAGTCTTGACGAAAACAGTGCCACCAGAGGGCCGCCCCACATTTTCTCACTTTACGGATCATCTGCATGTCTTGCCGATGGATCAGTTCGTGAGCAAGTCAGTCCTCGAAGGCATCCAGCAAGGAAAGATCAAAGTGCCAATTTGGGCTCTTGCAGAAGACTTCAAAGTGATGTACTCACTGCTGAACAGTGAAGAAGTACAACGAGCTTCATAAGGACATCTCTGTTCGATGCCCTGAAAACTGTCTGACGAGAATCTCCACCTTGAAAGCAACGATTTGCACGGGCTTCCTCAAGTTCTCACATGCAGCTCAAGGATGTGGCCATGTGAAGACGTCCCGCCCTATACGGGCTCTGGTGGATTAGCCCTGAGTTATTGAATGGGTCTCTTGGTACGCTGACCGCGATGACCCCGCCATCTTTGCGGGCGAATGGGACGAAGACAGACAGATGCGAGTGGGCTACCGATTCTTCGAGAATTTCTGCGACGCAGACCCGGTGCTCTGTGACATGCACCGGACGCTGGACCACAACTCGAGATGAAGAGCGCTCCAAAGGTTCTGAATAGGCTCCAGGAGGAGATGAAGAATCGGCAGATTGCTAATGTCAACCAACCACTTCCCACAAAGCTGCTCTCAATAAGACAATGCCCTGGAAGCTCTTTGACATGCAAGGCGAGCGCAAGACGTGGTGGATTGGAGCCAGTGTTAGCTTCGAGTCCGTGCACGACGAACAACAACAACTTGATGCTGCTGAAAACTTATCTCCGGACCGATGTCGACAAAGGCAAAGTGAGTTGTGCGTGATCATGCGGCCGAGGCCCGCCGCTCTTGATTCCTGAGCGCCATCTTGGCTATATTTTTGGTATCGAATCTAGGTTCTAGATCCTGCCAGACCCCTAGGTACATTCCAGATCCGCCCAGAGGCCTGGGCAGTATAGTATATATCAAGAGCTCGAGAGATGCAGATGACGTTAAAAAAGCCTCTCTGGCTCGTCGGCTGGTCCGAATTTGAAGGCGTAAATTACAGCTGCAAGCTCTCCTAGCAATTGCATTCAAACCCGCATTCCACATAGCCGTCGCCGAAATGAGTGCTGAGAAACTCATTTGTGGGATTTCGTGGCTTCTCTCTTCTGTCACATCCCCATGGAAAGCTTCCCGGCGTTCTGACATGTCAGCACCCTGAGAGAAGACACGGCGACTGGCTGCAATGCAATATTCTGGGTCCATGTTGGATACAAGTTTACATTTTTGTTATATATAGTAGAGCCCGACAACAATTAAGAATGACCATTTTTAATACAGTCCCAACAGGGAACCAGCATTGGTGGGAGCCAGCATGCCTGCCAGAATAGAGACTTGCAGCGATGGCTTTCAGCCGCCGACTGCTGAGTGGCTACGCTGGGCAGCGGGCAGGCTCAGACTCAGGGCATGCTGCAGACCTTGCGGATGCCCCGCGATTGCAGTCAGCGAGAGTAGGGCCCGGGTAATGCAGCCTGCTGATGCATGCTGCCGTGGCCAAAACTGGCGGGGCTGTGAGCTGCTTGTGCATCTATGCAAGGATGGTGGCGGAAGCAGCTTCCCAGCAGAGCAGAGATCGCGGTGGCTGCCAGCAAGCTGCCGTGAGCGGGTGACACCTGGCGCAAGGTGAGAAGCACCATCGTCTCCCGAGGCGGCCTCTCACAGAAGTTTGTCTTTTGCTTCTTTTCACCGGAAGCCAGGCTTGGGGATCAGTTCTTGGCTCGGTCAGGAAAGAACATCTGGCCTCAGCCGGAGACTTGGTGCCCGGATTGGATCTGCCTCCGGAGGCACTCTTCTGCTGGACAGCGGCTGACATGGAGATGTTTTTTGCTACCCGGCTGTTTGTGTAACAAATTTGGACCTGGAAGTTTTTAGTGGCTGTTCCGGAGTGATGAGATGTTGCGCAATGCCGGCTGTCGGAAGTTCCTGCCGCCACGTGAGGCCAGCGGTGGCTATGTGAAGCCCAAGTTGAGGCTTCTCTACTACATCTCCCCGGAATGTCCGCAAACCATTGTCGATCTCGTTTCTCCAAGCCTCAGGATGCAGAACTGGGCATGCACAGTGCGACCAGAGCCAGGAAACACACCCATCTTCGTCTGGGAGGGATCTCGACCCAGCATCGATCCTTCGCCAACGTTGTCCCGTGGAGGGCTCGTTAACCGTGTGGCTCCAGTGCTTCCGATCACCAGGAAAGTGGGCATGTTGAGAGCCTTGCAGCTCGCCTTGCTTATGCAGGATGGCGCTTCACATGCCTTTTTTTTAAATGTGGTGTTGTGCGGTTGTTCGGGTTGTCCCGATGGCAGGCAGAAGTGGTGCTCATGCAGACGGCAGGAGTTCCCTCCACCCTGGTATCCTGTCACCTTCGAGCTGCCCACCAGCCTGGAGGAGTGGAAGCAGCGGCCGGGCGGCAATTGGGAAAATGTTGAAACATGTTGAAACAGAAATGTAATGCCCAAAAATGTGCCATACCAAAACATGAAATAATCTAGGCTAATCGAATATAAATGCCGCCATATACTTTAATACAATGTAATGTGATGTAACATTAGATAATACAAGACAGTATAGTCTAATGTAATATACAATGTAAAGCATATAGTATAGAATGGTATGGTAGACAACGTATATAAGCACTATGTATCTGTCTATCTCTCTATCTGTCTATCTATCTATCTGTCTATCTACCTATCTATCTATCTATCTATCTATCTGTCTATGGTAATGTATAGTCGGTAATATAGAATATGTAATGCACGCACACATATGTATGTGTGTATATATATATATACACACAATAGAACTAAATACATATATGGTCAGGTCTTCCCCCTGTGGTGTGGTTGTGGGGTTTTGGGGTTTAGCGTTTAGCTCAAGCTTTCGAGTTTGGGGTTTAGGGTCTAAAGTGGCTCCGCAGTAAAGCTGCTAGGGCTGC